CAGAAGTGAAAAAAAAAATTGATATAAATATATTACATTGTGTTTGATTCTTTGATATAAATGAGGTCACCACCGGAAGTGGAATAATTTTGCCAATATTATAATGTTGAATGATATTTGAGACACTTATAAAAATTATGACTAGCGAAGTGTTTCCTTAAGCCTATTTAGGTTTTGTGTGATTTCTTGAAAATATTATGAGTTTTTCTACATCCGTAATTTGATATTGTTCATGATTAAATTGATTGAAATAAGCAACTTGTCATGTAATTGAACTCATGTGTTACGTTATTGAATCTTAAAGGGTTTGGTTTTAAATCCTATTGATATAATTGATATTATTTGTTTTCATATTGTTATAGATATCATTGAATTATAATTTGATTGTGATTTGTAGAAAAATATAGAATTTAATGAAATTATGATCAATGTTTATTTCCTTAATTTTTTGATACATTTATAAGGAGAATTATTTCCCTAAATATATTTTTATTAGATGATTTTTTTTAATAAGTATAATGAGAAAGACTCACTTGTTTTTTTTTTCTTTTCTTTTTATATAAAGAAAGACATAAACAAGTTATGATTTTTTTTCAAATGAATATATGATTGTGTTGTATCATTTATTTCTTAAAATGATAAAATAAAGTGTTAGTGAGATATGTTTTTAATATTTTGTATGAAATATTTATTTGTAGATAATATACATGAGATGATATAAAAATTAGTGTAGATTTTGACATTAAATTGATGTCTAAAGATACATAACAAAAATGTCATTTTTATAATGATTTCTCTATTTGAAAAATATATTATATTTTTCATATATCTATTTTACTCTGGAAGTAACAATATATATTTTTTTTAAAAAAAGGATTAAGAAATATCCTTAGTTGGTTTATTGTCTCTTGAAGACTAAAACAAAATATTGAGATTTTTTTATGCAAGAGACTATTTTAACTAGCATTATTTCATTCCCTGAAGTGAATGTTCTAATGTATTAATTTTTATCTTTTCATATTCAATAATGTGAGAAATTAATGTTATATGATACTACAAATATAATTGAAGGCTCCAGAAGAGCTAATATATTATTATTGAAAGAAACAAAGATGTATATTAAAAATGCATTATATTTTTTAAGTCTTATAGAAACTTATTGAGTTTCAAGGATATTCGTTTAAATGGGTTTTATATTAAAACAAACAATGAAGGAAATGTAGAATATCTTTATATGATGAAACTCCACTTGAATAAAAAGGAAGTATTGAAAAAATTATTTGCTTTTTCCTATGGATTGTATTGCACGTATATTAATACAGTTGAAACACATACTACTGTAAACCAGAAGTATACAAATCAAACTAAATTTGAGGTTTGACATGACCGGTTGGGTCACCCTAAGACTATCATGACGCGAAAAATAATTAAAAATTCATGTGAACATTTATTGAAGAACCAGAAGATTCTTCAATCAAATATTTTCTCATGTAATGTTTATTCTCAAGGGAAGTTAATAATCAGATTATCACCAGCCAAAATTGGGGATGAATCTATCTTATTTTTAGAACGAATACAAGGTGATATTTGTGGACCAATACACCCCCCATGTGGATCATTTAGATATTTTATGATTTTAATTGATGCATCAACAAGATGGTCACATGTTTGTTTATTATCAATTCGCAATCAGACGTTTGCAAGATTATAAGCTCAACTAATTAGATTAAGAGCTCATTTTCCTAACTATCCAATTAAAAAAAATCGTTTGGATAATGCTAGTGAATTCACATCTTATGTTTTTAATGAGTTAATTTTCTCAATATTAGGGGGATAACACAAATAGCTAGTAAAAGATATTAATTGGAATGAATTATCACTATCTCATCTTGATCCTCGTACAAAACAATGTGAACTAGAAGTTCAAAAGATAATTCATTTGCAAAATCTAGCCAACCAATTACAAATGTATTCACAGATCCAAAAAGGGTGACTAAATCATATGTACCAATGGCTAATGCTCCAATAAGAGTCGAAGTCCCTATTGGACAATTTAATACTACAAACGAGCCACAACTACGCTTGAAGCGTGGTAGACCAATTGGTTCCAAGGATAAGAATCCTCAAATAAAAAAAGGGAGCTAAAGAGCAAAATGACTAAATTGAGGATGTAAAATCTCAAAAAGATTCCTCTGACATAACTAATATTGCAGTTCTAGAAGAAACTCAGGTACATGAAACTATTGAAAATGAAGAGATCTCAATAAATTATGTCATGAATGGAATACGATGGAATCAAAATAATGTCAATATTGATGACATGTTTGCATATAATATAACGCTAAATGAAATAAATGATATTGAGGATCAAGAACCAAAGTCCATCAACGATTGTCGACAAAGAAATGATTGGCCAAAATGGAAATATGCAATTGAGGCAAAATTAGACTCGCTTGCTAAACGAAAAGTTTTTGGACCAGTACTACATACACCAAAAGGTGTAAAACCAATTGGATACAAATGAGTTTTTGTGCAAAAACAAAATGAAAATGGTAAAATTGTGAGATACAAAGCAAGACTAGTTGCTCAAGGTTTTTCACAAAGACCCAGTATTGATTTTGAAGAGACATATTCACCTGTAGTGGATGCAAACACTTTTCGATATTTAATTAGTTTGGTTGTACATGAAAAACTTAATTTACATCTAATGGATGTAGTTACAGCATATTTATATGGCTCTCTTGATGTTGAAATTTATATGAAACTCCCAGAAGGATTTAATTTGCCAGACGATGCAATTTATAGAAAAGATTATTCGATCAAATTGAATAAGTCCCTATATGGGCTAAAGCAATTAGGTCGTACGTGATATAACCGACTAAGTGAATACTTGTTACAAGAAAGATATAAAAATGATTCAATTTGTCCGTGTATATTTATAAAAAGATCTGAAAACGAATTTGTCATAATTGTAGTTTATGTAGATGACATAAACATTATTGAAACTCCTGAAGAGCTTTCAAAAGCAATAGATTGTTTAAAGAAAGAATTTGAAATGAAGGATCTAGGAAGGACAAAGTTTTGTCTAGGACTGCAAGTTGAATACTTAGAAAATGGAATTCTTGTGCATCAAGAAACTTATATAACAAATGTGCTTAAAAGATTTATATGGACAAATCACATCCATTGTGCACTCCCATGGTTGTAAGATCTTTAGATGTTAACAAAGATCCATTTAGACTCCAAGAAAAGGATGAAGAAATACTTGGTCCCAAAGTACCATATTTTAGTGCTATAGAAGCACTAATGTACCTTGTTAAATTATACACAACCTGATGTAGCATTTGCTGTTAATTTGTTAGCAAAATATAGTTCTTCACCTACACGAAGACATTGGAATAGAGTTAAACAAATCCTTCGTTATCTTAAAGGTACAATGGGTATGGGGTTATTATGTTCAAATGTTTCCAAATCAGAACTAATAATGGTTATGCAAACGCAAATTATTTGTCAGATCCTTATAATGGTAAATCACAAGCAAGATATTTGTTCACAAGTGGTGGTACAGCCATTTCATGGCGATCTGTAAAACAAATCATATTAGCCATTTCATCTAATCATGCTGAAATTTTAGCATTACATAAGGCAAGTCGTGAATGTGTTTGGCTAAGATCTATGATTCAACACATACGGGAAACTTGTGATTTATCTTCTGAAAAAATGACATTGATAGTTATATATGAAGATAATGTTGCATGTATCGCACAATTGAAAGATTGATACATAAAGGGAGATAGAACAAATCATATTTTACTAAAATTCTTTTTTACTCATGATCTTCAAAGGAATAGTGATATAAATGTTCAACAAGTCTGCTTAAGTGACAACCTAGCAGATCTCTTTACAAAGTCACTTCCAAGAAAAGTTTTTGAACAATTGATACACAAGATTGAACTCCATCATCTTAAAGATTGTATGCATGAGGGGGAGAAATAAATATTTATGAATGATGTACTCTTTTTCCTTCACTAGGTTTTTATCCTATAGGATTTTTCCTAGTAAGGTTTTAACGAGATACATTCTAAATATTGGACATCCAAGGGGGAGTGTTATGAATAATAATTAGTGGCTTAATTAGTGGATGTCAATATTCATTATCAATCATTACCATTTATATTTACATTATGTATTATTCTCTTTATTGTGTAATTGTTCAGTTACTACATGTACTTATAAATAGGTTAGTCCTCTCCCAAGGATAATACATCAATCAGATTCTTTTCTCCATCTCATATTATCTTATTTGTTCTCTCTATTTTTCTTTATTTTATAACACTAATGAGATTTTTTTTTATTTTTATAATCATGTTATTGTGTGAAATAGACATTGACTTATTGATAATTAATCTTTGTTGAAAAACTTAACTAAATTATTTTTAGTTGATTATCTTATTTCAATCACATTTTTTCATTCAAAAAATTTAAATTTGAGAATTTATTTAAAGAGATTAAATTTATTTCTTCCCAATTAAATAATTAGTGGTAGATATTATTAAGAGAGTTATAATAAACTTTGTTTAAAGAGATTAAGTTTAGTTCTTATCTGTCCAAGAATTAGTGACATATATTAGTTATAATAAGAGTAGAAGAAAAATCGTTATGTTAAGTTACAAAGTAAAGGACAAAAGTATTCTTTGTCCCGTCCCTCAAACAACAAAGTCAATTATCTGCATCAATCTTAAACACCACCACTTTTTACTCCCTTTATATTAATGGTCGACTAGATACAATGTTAAGAGAGGTAGAAATCTAAAGCAGCAGAAAAATAAATTAAGAAAAGGCTCTTGTTACTTTACGTCACTTTCTCTGACAAGTTTCTACATCTTAGTGCTCCACTTGCTTCCTCCATTATAGCACACATTACAATATCATTACAGCAAAATGTAGCAAATCATGCTAGTGTGGAATGATGAAGTCCACAATGATGTTCCACCAAAGAATAGTATATATAAAATTGATTTTTTAAACTTGAGTTTTAACTTACGTTCTTCAAAGAAATAATCCTCAACTCAAGTTCTCTGCATATATCTCATGGTGGCTAGCTGCTATCTTTAACAAATCTGAAGTCTACAAAGATGTTTCATATGAATGATGTTAAAATGGCCATGATAGTTACTTTGTTATGGTTGTGTCTGCACACTATCGCTTATGCATTGGTGAATAACAGTTTAAGGCCAGGGGAGACATTAGATCACTCAACCACACTATGCTCACCAATGCACAGGTTCTGTTTGAAATTTGGACCTCTTCAATTTGACCCCACTCATACCTACTTAGTGATTCGTAACACACGCACTCCAACCGGATATGCTGATTGGATTGCCAACAGAAATGACCCTATTGACAACAATTCTGGGGTGCTTCTAACACTGAATCATTCAGGTGCTTTAACCATCACAAGTCAAGGTGGGAACCCCATAACTCTCTTCTCACCTCTTCTACCTACCAAAAGAAATGTTGCTGTCACACTTTTGGATTCTGGGAACTTGGTCCTTGGAGAATATGATGCTAGTGGATCCATGAAGCATGTGATGTGGCAAAGCTTTGATCACCCTTCGGATGTGTTGCTACCTGGCATGAAGTTAGGGGTTAATCACAAGACTAATCATACATGGTTGGTTGTGTCATCTTTTTCTACTAACAACCCTTCTTCAGGTTCCTTTGCTCTTGAATGGGAGCCAAGGAATGGAGAATTGGTCATAAAGAGGGGAGGGAAGATATATTGGACAAGTGGTGTTTTGAAAAACAATAAGTTTGAGAATGTTCCAGGGCATATGCAGGTCATGTATGAGTACAAAATTGTCTCAAACAAAGATGAGGAGTCCTTTAGTTATGCAAGTCACAATGATCACTCCCAGTGGGTGCTGTTTAGTAATGGGAATTTGCAGGATACAGAAAATGGAGATATAGCTCAGACTCAAAATTGCTATGGCTACAAAACCAAGGGGGGTTGTGAGATATGGGAGGACCAACCCATGTGTAGGCATTTTGGTGATGTATTTGAAGTACAATCAGGGTACTTTGAGTTGTCTCAAGATAATGATTCTTTGGCTGAAGACAGGAACATTACACTGACTGAAATTGATTGCAAGGATTTTTGTTGGAGCAATTGCAACTGTGTTGGGTTCACAACTTATTTTCCCAATCAGACAGGGTGTAAATATTATTATGGAGGATGGGTGCCTACTTATGTGAAGTATGCTGGATTGAGTGTCAACATTCTTGTAAAGAACAACCAAAATCACAAAGGTATCACTTTTAGATTTTGTTTAGTTAGAATTTGTTTAAATACAAGTTTAGAAGTACTTTAAAGAGCTTCTCTTTTTGAAAATACTCTTTATTTTTATTAGAGAAATTCAAAAAAAAGGTTTCCAACTTATATCCAATCATACACTTAATTTGCTTGTCAGATATAAACCGTACTTTGCTAACGGGTGCAAATGACTTCAAATCGCTAAAACTTATCATCTGGATATTTTAAAGTTAGATAAACTTGGTTTATAGAAGAATTAGATTTTGAATAATTGAACACAATTAAGATGTGCGTTCAAATTAATTTCACTAACAAATTTATTGTTAGGGTTATTTTATGGTACTTGTCTGATTGTCCGTTTTGGGCCTAAGCCCTCACGATTTTGCTTTTGAGACCTAACCTTTCATGCAGCGGAATCCGAATCCAACCTACGGCTCTGATACCAAAGTTGGGGTTATTTTATAGTATTTGTTTGAGGGGATATTTTATGAGGGTTATTTTATAAGGTTATTACACAAACATACTCCACAATGATGAGATATTGTCCGCTTTGGGACTTAGCCCTCACGGTTTTGCTCTTGGTTATTACCCAAAAGACTTCTCTATCATTGAAGTATGTTTGTATTATATAAGTTGTTACTTTTTGTCTTATTTTATCGATGTGGGACTTGTTTGTATCCCAACATTTATTTACGGTGCATGGTGTAAAATAGTCAGGCTCTTAATCTTCGAGGAGAACTGGTTTGGTCTGTGTATTTCACATAATTCAGTAAAATTTGAATACCAAGTAGAGTTTGCAAGTGCATTTTCAAGATTCTTGTTAGTGATATGTCCTTATGGTTTTACAAGTGACAATGGACAAGCTAGTTTCCTATATCCTATTCATTCCTCAGACTAAATTTTTACTTCAGTCTTGAAAAAAGTAATAAACACATTAAGAAAAAATAAAACACACCAACATGTTAGGTCAAAGAAAACATGAAAGAAAAGCTGAAAAGACAACTATTAACACAAGTTGCTCTTCATCATTTTTCTTGCTCTCAATTCTTAATTTACAATTCCTACCACTCAATTTCATGCTAGATTAGAATATGTCTTATCAAAGTCAAGGAAAGGTTAAAGTGTAACTTCTAATGCTTTAACTTCGAATTTCAAACTTAGATGTCAATTTGATTCAATTTCATAACCAGTGTCAAATTTCTGAACACATCATCCTGAGCAAAAGGACTAATGAAGATAGTCTAAATTTAGAAATACTCCATATCCCAGTTATGTTTTTTAAAAGAGTATTTATTAAGTGATTGTGTGGCATTATAACATCAAAACATTGTAGTATAATACTTGCTACAGAAAATGTAATTCAAGATCCTGAACTCTAAACAAAATCACTGATGATATATATTAAATTAATTTATGATTGGTGACGTTGATATAATACAGATATGAAGAAGTGGATTATAACTGGTGTTGGTGTAGGATCAACTTTACTCATAATCGGCCTTGGCATTTTCTGTATAAGAATAAGGAGAAGAAGAGCTGCACGTCAAGGTACTTACTTCCAAGGAACAATTTTACTTATAAAGGCACTTTTTGTTTGGATGAATTCACCATAAGCACTTATAGGAGAAGAAAATATGAAGGAAAAATGAAATAAGCTTTTTCGTAGATTAAAATTAACTTATGTATAAGCTAATTTGTAAAAATTCTCTCATATTAATTTCTCCAAAAACTCTTTAAACTTGTGCATAAACTAATTTAACCTTATAAAGAAACTAATTTCATTTTTCCTTTCTCATCTCTTCTCTTATAATTTCAATTTTACTTGTGGAAAAATTTATCCAAACATGTCCTAACATTTTTGAGTCATGTTTCAAGCACTTGTTTTTCTTTGATCATAAATAACCTCATTTTGCCACGTTTTTGTCTCAAACAGAGAAGAGAAGCATAAGGGAGAATGACATGCTTAATTTCATGGTGTGTGAGAGATCTAACAGTTTAGCTGAACATCAAAATGAAGTGAAAACTGGGAATGCTTTAAGAATGTTCAGTTATGCATCAATCATGGCAGCTACAAAGAGGTTCTCAGTGGAAAACAAGTTAGGAGAAGGAGGCTTTGGACCTGTATATAAGGTGATTACTTAATATCCTAAACATTTTTCAAGATTACTTCCTGAAAAGAAATCAATAATATTTGTTGAACCTCCTTTTAGGGACTGTTAACCCAAAGAGAAGAAATAGCGATAAAAAGACTTTCAAAAGGTTCAGGGCAAGGGGACATTGAGTTTAAAAATGAATTAACTCTCATATCAGAACTCCAACACATGAATCTTGTTCAGTTGTTGGGCTGCTGCATTCATGGAGATGAGAGAATGCTAATATATGAGTATATGCCTAACAAAAGCTTGGACTACTTTTTATTTGGTGAGGAATTATTTTTCTCAGTAAAGCAAGAACATACTATTTCAATCCTTTTTTTCTTCATAGTCTTGCTAATGAGTGCCCTTAAGGCATTGATTAAAAAATCAATGTGTAGAAAGTTTCTACTGAGAACTATAATAAAGTTATGAAAAGAATGTTAGATACATTTTTCAATAAAAATTTTCTACTTTTGATTACTTAACCGGTGTCTTTAAGGACATTGATTAGCATTTTCCTTTTTCTTATATTTTTTATTTCTTCTAAAACACTAATTATTTCCATGTTAACAATGGGAAGATTCAACACAAAGCGGAAAATTAGACTGGAGAAAACGTTTCAACATAATTGATGGGATTGCACAAGGACTTCTCTATCTACATAAGTATTCAAGATTGAGAATTATACACAGAGATTTGAAAGCAAGTAATATTCTTCTTGATGCAAATATGAATCCCAAAATTTCAGATTTTGGCATGGCTAGAATTTTCACACAAGAATCAGATATAAATACTAAAAGGATTGTTGGGACATAGTGAGTAAGCTTAAAGTATCCTATTGTTACTTTTACCAAGTGCTTTGTATTCATTTATGATCTAAAATCATTATGTCCTATGTGATATTATGCAGTGGTTACATGTCACCTGAGTATGCCATGGAAGGAATTTTCTCTTTCAAATCTGATGTTTATGCTTTTGGAGTCTTGCTGCTTGAAATTATAAGTGGAAGAAGAAACAATGTTGAATGGCCACTTAATCTAGTAGGACATGTATGTTCTCCCTCTTAACTATATTTTTTTCAAAATTATGTTATTGGCACAAAATATTTATTAACTTTGTCGATAATTAATTTTTATCGGAGAACTTCATTGGCCACGTTTTAGTGGAAGATATTCAATGAGTTAATCACTTATATACTGTCCGTGTAAAAAAAATTTACACTGACAACTAATTATATCTTTTTATTGTGTCATGTCACTGTTAAAAATAAATGTGTTTACAGTAGCATGGCACAATTAAAAGATATAATTGGTTTCCGGTATAAAAAAACTTTACACCAGCAGTGTCTAAGTGATTAACTCATATTCAATACTTGAACTTACGACCTTATTTAAAGAGATCGAATCTAATTTCATTTGGACCAGTAAATTATTAGTTGATTACTGTTGCTATTTAATCAAATTAAAGCGGGAATTCTCTTTTATTATGATTGGCATATAATATGTTCTTTTTTTCTTCTATTGACATAGGCTTGGGAGCTATGGAAACAAAGTCATCCACTAGACCTGTTAGATCCAACTTTAAGAGAATCATTCAATGAAGATGAAGTGTTGAAATGCATTCATATTGGTCTTCTATGTGTAGAAGAATGTGCAGCTGATCGTCCAAACATTTCAGAGATAATAGTCATGTTGACAAGTGATATTGCCTCATTTCCATTACCAAGAAGACCAGCATTTTACCGTGGAAGAAAGCTGGTTGAGGAATACAGTTCTTCTCTTGATAATGAGACTCTTTCGGTGAATGGTTTAACTGTTACAAGCATAGGTGGAAGGTAAATCTATTAATGAATGCATAGATTCAAAAACTTTAGTACTTTTTACTTTCTTCATAGATTAAATTGTTGACAAATGTATTCTAAATATTTTATTGTCCAATTCTCGTTCGATCAACTTTTAAGTGGTGCGACTCTCTTGAAAACAAAATATAAAAAATAGAAGTTTATGATTAAACAAAATATAATGGTTCAGAGTAAAAATTTGTAGCATCATAAATATAAAATGAATAAAAATTGATTTGATATATTTGAGTTATTAACTTAATTTTTACACCTAGTGACAATGTTTACAACAAGTATTTAAATATTAAAATTGATTAACTCTTAATTAGATAAAACAAATAATAAAAATAAACATCATTTGTTTATATAATTTATTTTTTTAAAATATAAATAATTTTTAACCAAATTTACAAGAGAAATAGAAAACTATAAAAACTTTAAAATATGAGTTAATCACATATACACTGTCATTGTAAAAAAATTTACACTAGCAACTAATTATATCTTTTAATTGTGTTATGTCACTGTTAAAAGTAAATGTGTTTATAGTGATATGACACAATTAAAAGATATGATTGGTTACCAGTATAAAAAACTTTACACTGACAATGTATAGATAATTAACTCTTAAAATATTTAATTATGAGAATGAAAAAAACTCAAATACCAACAGATTCAACATCATCACATCTTGTTATTTTCTGTTTTTAACAAGAGAAAATTCTTCGGCAGGGTTTATGGACATCCACGTGCATAGGTAATCGTTTATTTTGCATCCCCATCAACATAACTGGTATCAAGATTGTGGTAATATTCTATGCACGAATGCATACCAAAATTTGAAATTTGATTTCAAAGTGCTGATGAGATATTAGCATTCAAAAAAAGTTGACTTAATATAATACTTATCAGTGAAAATCATATTTTATGAATAAAGGTTAATTTTTATTTATCAATTTTGAGACAATAAATTATGTTCATACAACAAAAGATAAGAAGAGTTGAGTTATGATACTTTAAAATTTTGATAATTGATCATGGTAAACCACATGCAAACAAAGGACAACCATTATATATATTAATAATTCTATAATTTTAAAATATATTTATATACTATAATTAGATTCGTTATTCATGCTATGTTCGAACTATTTTGATAACCCATATAATATAATATTTAATCTTCTTTTCATTGCAATAATTATTATATAATTTGTATTAATTTTTATAGGTTATATAACATAAATATTTTAGGCGAATTATTAATGCAAATGAATAATTTTGTATACACACACGTATGTATATATATATATATATATAATTTTTTATAATTGGTAATAACATTAAAACATGAAAATAATTAGTAATAAGTAATAATATTAAAATGAAAATCTAATAATAATAATAATAATTAGTAATCATTTACATTATAATCAGTAAATAAAAAATAATTATAATTATTAAAATGTTTTTTTATCTAAATTTTATCTTTTATTTTGATAAATTTGTTTTGATATATTTATTTTTTAATTATTTTCATTAATAATTTATTTTATAATATTTCAAAAATCTAATAATAATTAGTAATTATTAAAATATTTTTGTCCAAATTTTATCTTTTATTTTGATATATTTGTTTGTTTTTGACTATTTTCAGTAACAGTTTTGATATATTTATTTTTAAATTATTTTCAGTAACAGTTTATAATATTATTTTTATATAAAAATATTTAGAAGAAAATTATTAGAGAATAAATATTTAGAATATAATTATTGAAGGAAAGTTTATTAGAAAAAATTATTAGAAGAAATTATTGGAGAGAGATTTTGGAGGGAAGAAGTTATTTCTTTTATATATACTATAGATAATAATGTTATTAGTATTAAATTATCAATAATATTATTAAACAAAAATATATAATAATTTTTTATTTAGTAATTGGTCACTAATATATGTGTAATCTTGATTTCTTTTTTTTAAGATATAAAATGGTTATTTAATCTTATTATTTTAGTGATCAACTGTTGTTGTCTTGGAGTTAAGGGTAAGTGGTTAAAATCTCTTTTAACAGTTTTTGTGATTTTTTTTTATTGTTTCCTATTTTTACAATTATAACAGATTTTTTTTTTTTAATTTCTTTAACCATCACAAGTCAAGGTGGGAACCTCATAACTCTCTTCTCACCTCTTCTACCTACCACAAAGAATGTTGTTGTCACACTTTTGGATTCTTGGAACTTGGTCCTCGGAGAATATGCTAGTGGATCCATGAATCATGTGATGTGGCAAAGCTTTGATCACCCTTCAGATGTGTTGCTACCTGGCATGACGTTAATTAGGGGTTAATCACAAGACTAATCATACATGGTTAGTTGTGAAAGATTATTTCATGATATTTGTTTAAGGAGATATTTTATAAGAGTTATTTTTATAAAATTATTTCACACACAATTTCACAATGATGAGATATTGTCTATTTTGGGGCTAAGCCCTCACAATTTTACTTTTAGTTATTAGTCAAAAGATTTCTCTTACATTGAAGTATACGTGTGTATTTTATAAGTTGTTATTTTTTTTTCTTATTTATATCTTAACAGGTTGTGTCATCTTTTGCTACTAACAACCCTTCTTCAGGTTCCTTTTGCTCTTGAATGGGAGCCAAGGAAAGGAGAATTGGTCATAAAGAGGGGACGGAAGATATATTGGACAAGTGGTGTTTTAAAAAACAATAAGTTTGAGAATGTTCCAAGGCATTTGCAGCTCATGTGTGATTATAAGATTGTGTCAAACAAGGATGAGGAGTCCTTTAGCTTTGCAAGCCATAGAGATCACTCTCAATGGGTGCTGTTTTGTAATGGGGACTTGCAAGATGCAGAAAATGGAGATATTGCTCAAGCTCAAAGTTGTTATGGCTTCAAATCAATGAGGGTTGTGAGGTGTGGGATGACCAACCCATCTGTAGGCATTTTGGTGATGTGTTTAAGGTTGTATCAGGATATTTTGAACCTTTGTTGTCCCCTCCAAATAATCCTTTTCTTGCTGAAGACAAGAATACCACACTAACTGAAATTGATATTGCAAGGATTTTTGTTGGAACAATTGCATCTGTGTTGGGATCACAAGCTATTTTCCAAACCAGACTGGGTGGAAATATTATTATGGAAGATGGGTGCCTAATTTTGTGGAGTATGATGGACTGACTATCAACACTCTCGTAAAGATCCACCTAGATCACAAAGGTATCACTTCTTTTGTTTAGTTAATGAATTTTAATTTGTTTAGATGAAATTCTTAAAAGTATTTTTTTAAAATAATCAGTAAAAAAATTAAAATATTTTTTTATAAGATAAAACTAACTTATATATGAGTTAAAAATAAGATTAGACAAATTTAATAAAAAATAACTTTTACAAATTAGTTTATGCATAAGTTAATTTTAATTTATAAAAGAATTTATTTATTTTTTTTTATTTTTCTTTTCTAAAAGTTTTTTTATAGAAGTTTATCTAAGTAGACCCTTTGTCAAATACAAATTGTACTATGTTTATGAGGACTAAATACTTTAATTATCAAACAAAGGCATGTTTGAATAATTTTTTCCACAAATATTTCTACAAGAATAAAAATAAAAAAATGAAGTAAATTTTTTCATAAACCAAAATTAGGTTAAACATAAGTGTTTGTAGAAGTTCTAAAAATTTGTTTTTAACTTAAGTATAAATTAGTTTTAATTTATAGAAAAATATATATTTTTTTCTAAAAGTACTTATAGAATTTAGTCTCATTTGTTCCAAAGTTGGGTATAGCTAATATTAATAGAAATGGATTTTTGAATCATTAAATGGAACTGAAAAATCCATGACCATGGTAGGACAAAGTTATACCGATGAAAGCGTGAAAACAAAATAAGAAAAGTTGATACTACGTACGATAAATGTTATACAATAATATATAAAAAAAAGTCACTAGTATATATCTATTTGCATATAGTTACACATAATTTTAGTGTCGATTTTGAATGTAATTTAATAACATATTTTGTGTATCATTATAGTTTATATATACATTTTTTAACAATATACCAACATATATTATATATATTGTGTGGATAAAAGTAGTCTTTAATAATAAATATTGTTTTCTTATAAAGTGTGTGTCACTATATGATAATTTTTGTATAGTGTGAAAGATAACAATTAAAACAAGCTTTTATATATATATATATATATATATATATATATATGAGTAGGGTTCAAACGACACCGGTGTAACTTTTACTAAGTGTTACACTGCTCAATAACTTTAAATTAAATGTGAATTTTGTAAATCTAACCGTTAGATTGAAAGTTCATTACTCTTAGATCATAT